TCAGCATCACGTCTGTTCAGGGTGCACACGAGGTGACTATGTGGGCTAATTTTCTTCTGCAGCTCTTGCGCTGCGTGAACGTTCGAGGTACGCAACAGTTGGAAACTTCTGGCCATTTGTTGGCTACCTTACTCGCGCGAGAAACGAAAACCCGCAAGATATCTGGCTCCCAACAACGACATACGGATCGACTATTGTTATTTCGCGTCTAGTCTTCACCGAGAGGTAGTGGATGGGTGAGCACGACATGTCGTCCAGTGCACGGAGCACTGACGTGCCAGAAGCACCAGCGCACGCAATCCTTGGCTGAAAACCACACGCGCACATCAATGCAACCCTATGAGGAACCGACTGCTTCATCCAGACTTTCAACGACGCCTCATATACCACGAGTGTAGGAATGCTACTGCGAGGTAATTTATGGTGCAACACGCTGCCCCGATGCCGCAATTTGGCTCGCAGATCAGCTCAAGGCGTGCTGGGTGCGTGCCGCAATGGCACCGAGTCTGATAGTGTACGTATATACACTGGGTTGACTGATGAAACGTCACTTTGACAACATTGCATTCCTTCTGGCTTCCAGGACTGCTACCGGAAATGTCGGCGATGTTCAAGCGCTTCGGCGCCAAGACCTCGCCTCGTGTCACCGAAGAAACAGCAGGCGTCACGAGCGATACATACTCCGACAAGGGACTCAAGATTGTCGGCGCTCAGTCCGACAATGACTCTCCTGTATCGTATCAGGAAGCCAGTGGTGCGCCAGTCGAGACGACGTCCCCGCTCGGCCTCAATGTTGGCTCCATCACGATTGTGTTCTTGAATCTGAGCAAGATGGTTGGCACGGGCATCTTCTCAACCCGTAAGTCAGCGACACTCTTCTCAGCAGATCGATACTGATGGTGTCACAGCATCCTCCATCCTGCGCGGCACCGGCTCAGTAGGCCTCAGCCTCGTATACTGGTTCATCGGCCTCCTAACCTCCCTAGCCATGTTCTCAGTCTACCTCGAATTCGCCGCCTACTTCCCCAACCGCTCGGGCTCGGAAGCAGTCTACCTCGAACAAGCCTACCCACGACCACGGTACTTCTTCCCCTTAGCTTTCGCAGTCCAAACCGTGGTCCTCTCCTTTAGCAGCGGGAACTCGGTGGTATGCGCCAATTATCTGTTCGCTGCTGGTGGTCGTATAGCGACGGAGTGGGAGACGAAGGGGTTGGCCATTGCAGTTTATTCGTTGGCGTTTCTGTGCGTGGTGTTTAATACGCGGTTCTCGTATTGGGCGAGTAATGGGATTGGCATGGTCAAGTTGGTTACGTTGGTTTTCATCTCGATTACGGGGTTGGTTGTGCTGGGTGGGCATACGAGGGTTAAGGACTCGCATGAGCATTTTCATAATGCTTTTGAGGGCGAGGCCACGGTGTATGGGTGTACTAATGCTATGATCAAGATCATCTTTGCCTGTCAGTCACATACACGCATGCATTACGCTCTCGCTGACATTGAAATGCAGACGCCGGCTACGAAAACGCCTTCAACGTCGTAGGCGAGGTTCAGAACCCCGTCAAGAAAATCAAGAACAGCGGTTTTGCAGCCGTGATCCTGGTCGCCATCCTATACATGCTAGCTAACATTGCCTACTTTGCCGCCATCCCCGTCGCGAACATCAAAGCAGGCAAGACCATCGCCGCTGGTCTCCTCTTCACCCGTGTCTTCGGCAGTAGCAGCTCGGTCAAGGGCTTGAACTTCCTTATCGCGCTCAGCTCTTTCGGGAATCTGGTCGCGGTCTTCCTCGGAACTTCTCGGTTGATCCGGGAATGTGGACGACAGGGCGTGTTGCCCTGGCCGAAGTTCTGGGTTTCGACTAAGCCTTTTGGGACGCCGCTTGGTCCTTATGTCGTCAAATGGGTGCTGACGATATTGCTCATACTCGCGCCGCCTGCAGGGGATGCGTTTAATTTCACCACCGATCTTCAGGTCTATCCCTCATCCATCTTCAACCTGCTCATGACAATCGGCATCTTCTTTATCCGCGCTCGACACCGCCGTCTCGGTCTCCCACGACCGCAATTCCGCGCTTGGTTACCAGTCCTGGTGTTTAGCGTTGTAGTGCAGCTTTACCTCATCATCATGCCTTGGTACCCACCTGCGACAGGTCGCAATGGAGGGGATGTGAGCTTTTGGTACGGCACGTATATCGTGACCAGCATTGGGATTCTCATACTTTGCGGGATCTGGTATGCGCTGTGGATCAAGGTGTTGCCCATCTGGGGCAAGTATCGGATGAGATATGAACTCGTTCGGTTGGGCAATGGTGCGGAGACGCATCGGCTTGTGAAAGTGCCTTTGGGTCAGTTGGAGTCGTGGGATGCGAGGCATGATGTTACTGGTGCCGAGCTGCACGATTCGGGTTCAAGCGATGGTGAGGAGAAGGTCGTGGACGGGAATGAGGTCAAGTCCTAGCTCAACGGGGAGTGCTGAGACTTTGCTGAAGCGGTATCCTCACATATATCAAGCAGCGCAACATTTCAACCATGGCACCTCCATCCAAGCAAAGACGGGTCATGATATCAGCATGGGCCAATGACAATCTTGACATCTTGAGGGACTGACCTAGACCACTGACACACCATTTACAACAGACACGCAGACTATGAACCAAGCCCCTTGAAGAAGGCCAAGCCCTAGGCGAAGCTTGACAGCGCTAATTTTCGATTAGTCAGCGTTTGAGAAAGCACTCTACATAACGCCCTTCTATTTCCTATGAAAGCCGAATGCCAGATCTTGCTTCGAACCATACGAAAGGGACATATATCGCTCGCTTCGCTGCTGTGGTTCTGCGAACATAAATACTGGCCAGCCTACAATGTGTCCTCCTTCCGATCTCGCTGGTTGGCAGAGTCAAGGTGCTCGCACGTCTACCATGGCCACCGACAGCGCCACCTTCAGCTGCGTACCGGCGGACAAGCTCTCACAATCAGCATATGCGTACGCCGCTGAGAACCTACATCCAGCAATCCTGACCCACAGTCTACGCGTGTGGCTGTATGCGAAAGCTTTGTCACAGCGCGAAGGCTCAGAATATGGCTCGTTCGAGCGTCTGCCTTTGCTGTTCGCAGCATGCATCTTCCACGACGTCGGGAGCTGTGCAGCACACAACGGCTCCCAGCGCTTCGAGGTCGAGGGAGGAGATGCCGCAACGAGCCACCTTCGTGCTCATGGTGTGTCGGATGCCGACGCGCACGATGTGTGGGTGGCTATCGCCCTACATACCTCGCCTGGCATTGCGGAGAGAATCAGTCCACTCGCCCGCCTGATCCGATTAGCGGTGACGATCGACTTTAAGCGGCCGGCAGCCTTGCTCTTCACGAATGGAGAGGAAGTGGAGGCCATCGAAACCCTGTTCCCACGAGGAGATATAGAGAAGGTGCTCGGCGATGCTGTGGTGAATCAGGCGCTCGTTACGGTGGGCGCGGAGGCGCGTGATATCAAGGCACCAGCAGCGTCATGGGTGGGTGTGATGGTTAGGAGTGCACGCGAAAATCCGGAGTGGCATGGCGTGAATAAGTCGTTCTGACGAGGTGGTTATTGTGGCTGCCTGTCATCGTGGTCATATATCTAGGCAAACATGTCAGTATCGGACCGTCACTGCTGACATAGCATGTGGTGAAGCGTATAGACTCGTATACATTGTGTTGACATTTTCTTTTGGCCGGTCGGGCTTCTGTCTTGTACAGCGAGTCTTCAAATGTTAGCTGAATGTCCCGTCGAAGCCACGAACACAACCCTCAAGGACGACACCTACGCCACGCCTTTACTAGCAAAATCGAAAGCATGCAGCAAACAGAAGTAGCCGCCAATGAACGTGCTGGAGCAATCGAAGGGTAGGTATTCTGGTTCCTACGCTTTAGTCGCAAGCTGACCCTTACCTTAGAGGCATTGACGGAGATCAGTACAAGTCGAAACAGACTTCGCCCCTGCTTGCGCTACCTTCGGAGCTCAGGAATCGCATCTGGGAGCTCTGCGTCATCAAGCCAATATCACAAGATGCTGATGAACCGTGCAGAGACCATGCTATCGTAGCAGCGGGTCGCAGGCTGTCAGAGGTACAGCACGCAGTACAGCAGCCACCTCTCACGCGTGTTTGCTGCCAGGTGCGTGACGAAACGTTGCCAATGTACTACAGCGGCAATGTATTTGCCTGGAGCCGCTTCGATCGGTCGTTCGGCGTGGACCCGTACGCTTCGCGTGCCGTATTGAATCGCCATTGCGCCGTTGTTCATTGGGCAGAGGCCATTGGAGAACGAAATCGAGGCTGGCTGAAGGACGTACTATTGCGATATACAGCCGGAGAATCCGATTGGAGACAGGGCGCCGAGAACAAGCTCAACGATGTAGTGAACAGACAAGGCGTTGTGAGATCGGAACGCCAGGAGCCACCGGAATACTGGTGGGAGATCGCTGTAGAATGCTGAGACTATGCGAAGGTCGTGTTGGTACTTCTAGCCACCGAGGGCTGGTCTCAAATATGCAGTATGCTAGTGTACCATGCAATTCCTCATGTTATGGATCGTAAAGGGAAATGCCTCCTCTGTTTCTGCGAGAAGGGGTTGCGCTTGAGACCATTGACACATGCCTCTGAGCACAGAGGTCACAGTATGGAGCCACATCCGGGTAATGGATTGTTGTTCGTTGAGAGTGCAAGTGAAGGAGCAACATTGGCTACCTAGTCATAGTGGTGCGAGGCTAGTACGAGCTCTTGACGAAAAACGTTCAAGACCTATAGCTGGTCAGCTAAAGCACTTCGATCGTGTATGACTCAAAGTTTTAGGTTGGATTCTGTCAGTAATTCTGGTTCATCGAAGCCCATGCGCAACCCAGTCCCACATCGAAGAGATGGTGCAATAGCAAAGCGATTCCTCCTCGAACCATAAGTCGTATTGACCATCACATACAGCCCCATCCTATTGTTCGAAGAGGCATCGATCAATGGCAAAAAGATGTATCGCCGCCACTAAGGATCGAACTTAGGTCACCCGCAGAAGGCAATTCCACGAAGGTTCGATTGCTCAATCCTTCGATGGAAATCACCAACAAGCTGGTATGCTCACCACTACACCATAACGGCTTGATGTTATGATTGGCGTAGTCGGTAGAAGCGAAGATAACCAGGAGCTCGAAGTCGCCGGGGTAAGCCCGTGCTGGAGGAAGATGTGATCGCCCTTCACTTGGTGAAGTGCAGCTCGGCGTCGTGCTACCATACTCCCGCTACCACAATATGAGAGGAGGACAGTGCTGCGTGGTGAACGCTGCGGACACAGCTTCCATATTCAGCCGTCTGCATCGAAGTTGACTTAGCATGCAGCATGTATGGCTGTCGACAATCGTCCGTGTTCAAGTCGACTGCCTCCCATTGGCCAGAGATCTCAGAAAACTGCAATAGTCACGTTCGACGGCGAAGAGGGATTGATCAGCAAATTTAAGCTGTATAGCTGCCGCAGCCCCTATCGAGGGTCATGCAGAAGAAGATAAGGCTGGATTCCTATAGCGAGGAATACATGGCAACCGACAAGCAGTTGCCCGGCATGCATGAGAACCATTGTCCGCTGTAAGAGACCAAGCGAGATTTCCATGAAGAGCCGGACGTGTGCTCGCGGTATTTCTAGCAGCCCGCGAGGCGATTGAAGGGTGTGAGTCGTAGCAGGTTTATGTAGAGCGGAGATCCCGGCGCTGTCGTTATGCTCCAGAAATGTTTTCTGCAGTCCGACTTTCCCATCAACCATCGCACGAGCCATCTTTCCAGCCTGTACGCCATCTTTCTTGCCACTTGTTGCAGTCGAACGACTCTTTGCCAAGCTTCACATTGACCGCGTTATGCGCCTCGCACGCCCACCGCCCGAACTCTTCCCTGTTGCTAACTCTAGGCTCATTGCCATCTTTCATCCATGCCTTGAATTCATTTGCGCATACCCAACAAGGGTACAGCTTGCCAAATAAGCTAATAAACTGTTTGGTCTCGGTCTGATGAGTAGGCGAAGGGCGTTCTGGGTAATTCGCAGTGATTGCATGGAGAAGCGTCCAGCCTGATCGTCCGAGCTGCTCAACGTCTGGGGGACAGTCTGATCGTGGTTGAGCCACTGGCGTAGCCGTAGCAGAGGGAGGTGTAGACGCTGCCACATTGGACGGTTTCTGCTTCGTCATCGCGAGCCATGATGAGACTGATGTACAGGTTCGGCACCTTCGACCCATCAGTCTCGCTCAACCATACAGTGTCATCGCAACATACGGCTTGCCATCAGGACCTAGCACGACACCTTTCGGCAAAGGCTTGGTGTTCTCTTCATCCTGCTTCTGTCCAACTTTGGCCAACTGCTCTGACGTGGCATCTAGTGGCTGCGCCGGCATACCTGTTCTAGACTCGACAACACACAAGAAGTGTTGCAGGATAGGATAGTCAATCTCGGTGAGAGGCATCGTCGCACCTCCATGACTGACAAATGCACTCAAGCACTGATCCGTGCTCTTTCCTTCCCCAGACGGAGACGTGAAGTCGCCGGGAGTGGCGCTGAGAGCCGGCGCTAGCAACCACAAAGCACGTCCAGTGAACTCTCGCAACTGCAGTCTTCACTCTATCAACATCACACTCCTTGATAAATGAGTCGGTCGAGATGGAAGACGTTACAAGCGGGCTGGCCGGCTTAACGATCGACCAAATACCAGTCTATCTACTCAAGACAAAATCCTCACCCGTCGACACGTACGAGGAACACTTTGACTCTTTGAGTAATGCAAAGTACAAGCCAATCTTTGTTCCGGTACTGGAGCACATGTTTCGTGACGATGCGCTGAGATCACTACGACGATCTGCGGAACGCTTTGCATTTGCTGGAGGAAGCGAGGCGAACGATGCCTACCTACGCAGAGCAACAAACAACCCAGCCAAGAAGTACGGCGGACTCATCTTTACCTCCCAGCGTGCTGTCGATGCATTCGGATATATTGTATCGAAGCTCGACCCGTCAAAGTTGGGAGCGTTGTTCGACAAGGACATGCCATTGTACGTCGTTGGCCCTGCCACTGCACGAGGAGTGAGGTCACTTGGTCTACCCTGTCCTGTGCTAGGAGAGGAGACAGGTAATGGGGAGGCATTGGCCGAGTTCATCCTGAACCACCGGAAGTCGCTATCGCAGGACGTTACTCATCTCAATGGGCAAGCGCTACCTCTGCTGTTCATGGTCGGTGAACAACGACGGGACATCATCCCGAATACGTTGCAGTCGAATGGACTATCAGCAGACGAGCGGACACCCGTGACTGAATTGGTCGTGTATGAGACTGGCGAGGCCGCCACATTCGAGGAAAACTTCATGCGACTTCTACGTGAAGCCAAGGTAAAAAGTGTCAAGAAGCAATGGGTGGTGGTGTTCTCACCTCAAGGATGCGAAGCTATGCTCAATGCGCTTGGATGGCTCGAGACGACGGGCAAGTATAGTGAAGCTAGAAAGCAGGCCGTGGTTGGGACGCTGAAGTCGCGCGTTGCCACAATTGGACCGACCACAAGAGATTTTCTCTTGCAGGAGTTCGGATACGAGCCAGACGTTTGCGCAGCGAAGCCAAGCCCCGAAGGTGTCGCGGAAGCAATTGTGGCATACGAACAGTGAGATGGTTTAGCGACATGGACTCACAGCAAGCGGGACCGTTGTACAGAGCCAATAGTGTACCATCAGCCCACCAGGGCAGCAAGAAAGGTGCGCACTACTCTTCATCGGACTCCAGACCAGCAAACACCCCCATCGCAGTCACGGCCTTGAGCAAGGTCTGATAGTCGCCCTTGCAGTCGTTGAACACCGCACCGAAGATTGCCTCGACTGCAGTGGCTCTCATGTACTCAGACATGGCTGTCATGCCAGCATTCATGTTGACGAATCTGGCCACGCCTACTGCATGAGGAAGCGCAGCCAGATACTCGTTGCACGCAACCCTCTTCCACACATCGTTTGCAGGACCTATTCGCAGGTCGCGTCAGTGTGGCACCAGAAATGAATATGATGGCTGTTTTTACCTCGAGCCATATTTCTCCCGTAGCAGTAGTACACTACCACAAGGTGAAGCACCGCGTCGCCGACCACCGCCAGACTTTTGTTGCCATCCGGCAATTGGCGTCCATTCAGCATTTCAGTAGGGCAAGCCCACAGTGCTTCTTCCAGATAGTCGATATTATTGAATTGGTAGCTTAGTACTTCCTCGATGTACGTCTTTGCGTCCGCGAGTTTGAGATGTGCAGGAATGACGAACGTAGATGGTAGCTTATGGTCGAAGCGTGTCGATAAGTTGTTAGTTTGTGTCAAGCTGCAATATACTAACAACAGCAAACAAAGTTTTCGCCAGTGATCTATCGCGCTTTCTAGAGCCCTCGAGGTTCAACTGCTGAGTATTTTATGCAGACAATGATCTCAGCTCGATCTGAGATCTTTCCAGGGATCATCTTCGATGAAGCTCGGTTTGAAATACACCATGTCGCCTCTCTCATTCTTCACTCCGTGCCGCAGTGCCTGCATGTCTGACTGTCCTGGCCCGAGACTGCGCTCGGAAGGTCCGGCGTGAATTGCCGGGCCAATATTGAAACCGGAGTGCTGCCCATCTACTGAAGTGCTGGCCGCTTCATCCACAGCTCGCTCTTTCTTGCGAATTCCAAGTGGCAAGCTGTTGGCGCCTTTGACAACATCCTTGGTCCTCGCCGTGCTGACACTCGTGGCCGCTGCGGGATCCACGAAGGCGTCGTTGTCGTCGTATTTGCGCTTCTTCCCAGGCTGCGCACCAAAGCCTGCAAACCCCATAGCCTCCGCAATCGCAGGGTCGACTTCAAAATCGTCGTTGTCGTCCTCCATGATCTCGGCTGATTTGTGTTTGTGATTGTGTTCGTGGAGAGATTGAGAGGCAAGAAGTTTGGTGGCAAACTGATGCCTCAGTCAGTAGAACACGTGACGTGACATAAAAATTTCTTGGAGCAGCTCAGGATGGCATCGTTTGATCTATCTAGCTACGACTCGGAGCGTACATCATGCCTTCCGCTGCTTCTCGAACATGAGCTCCAGCAGACCAAACCACACTGCATGCTTCCCAACCAATTCCTTGCCAGGAAGTCTGTAGAGCCTTGCGAGCACCTCCTTCAACCTACTCCGGAGCATCTTCAGCGCGACCATTGTCTTCCAGTCTTTGACTTTGTACCTCAGCCGATTGCCGTCGATGACGATCACGCCCGCGTACATGTGGAAGGCTGCGTCGCCGGCGAGCAGTATGAGCGCCATCTCGGGTGCTGGTGTAGTCTCTTGTGCGTTGGTGTATTTTGATGAGCTCTGCAGGATACTGTAGAACGATAGAAGTGTGGTTTCGGGCGAGAGTGAGTTCTTGTTGACCGAGGACGGGTGCAGGGCGAGAGTCTGACTGTTGGCGATGTTACGCCAGCCTTTCCCATCACGCTTGATGATCTTCGGGTAGAAAGACCATGCTACCACAGACGCCATGACCCGGTCATCCTTATCCGTAACACAATACCGCTCTGGCAGCTCCACGAAATTGCGTTGGCGTGAGCCAGGACGGATCCTCGAAAGCGCTGCTCGCTCGCCAGCACCAAGCTGCACGAATCCCGCGTCCACGAGGGAGGTCAGCAACTGGGCCTTGAGGTCCTCGATGTTGGCCAGATTTTGCGAGCTCAAGAAGTTCTTATTGCAGAATTGATATTCAGGAATGCCGTTGGTCCTGCAGACATTGCGCCAACTGCAATATGCGTTGTACAGAGTTCCGAGGTCGCTGTCGCCGCGCTTGAAACCCAGGCGAACAGTTTCTGCTTGCTTCTTTGCATGCATTGGGCTAAGGAACGGCGATTTTGACGTTAGAGCGGCGGCCACTGTTAACGTGAAGTCGAGGCAGCCGAAAATGCTGCCTAACAGTACCAGCTTCCCTAGCTGTGCATCAAGCGGAAGCTTCGCAAGCTGCATGCCCAGCGGTGTTAGCTCCTCACTCAACGTGAGAGCCTCGACATCGACCAGAGCATCAATTGCTCGTCGAATATTGCGGCTCAAGGGTGCGTCGAGCGCACTAGACAGCGCTGTCTCGATGTCACCTAGC